TTCCACCTAATGAGCTTTTGCTTTTCCCATATCCTATTTAGGACCCCGTGCTACAATGACTCTTCACATCTCTGCCTGAGTGCAGTTTCTCAGACGCCCCTGGTTTTAGGTTTCTCTGATGGTTCTGAAGCATACAACGGAGCATAATGTAGCAATTCCCCTTATGGACTCTGTCTGAGGTTTGCCTAGTGATCAGACTACAGTTACAGATTCTGAAGGAAGAGCAGCTTAGTGTAATTGCCCTAAAAGGAGTTAAGCATGTCCAGACATCAAAGGGTTACTATGGATGCAAATTATGTGTTATTTTAGCACCACCATTATTCTGTCCTATTAGAGCCAATAAAGAATGTGATTTGTTAAAAGCTTGGTAGTGGCTATGTTGGCACATACTTGCAATCCCAGTACTTTGAGAAGCTGACACAACAGGATCATAAATTTAAGCCAAACCTGTACAATTTAGTGACTTAGTGAGATAGTCTCAAAATTTAAAATATAAAAGGGCTCAGGATATAGCAAAATGTTAAGGTCCTGAGCTTAATACCCAGTGTCACATATGGGAAAAGTTGGCTTTTAAAAACATAACTAAATTGGGGATGCAACTAAATGGTAAGGCTCCTGCCTAGTAGGTAGATATGGATAGATAGAACATTTTTATAGGCAATCTTTCTCCACAAATTCTCTCTGGAGTAGTATTGCTCTGAGTTCAAACCACAGGTGTGGTGGTCAAGTGTGAGGGAGGCAAGTAACTAAAAATTTAAAAATGAGCATGATGTGCTACTTGCACTGATTTCCTATTAGTGCACTATTTTGTACTATAAACATGTACTAAAACCAAACAAAACCAAAGGGGTAGATAACATAAAATATTGGTAATGTATTTGTTTAATAAAGTATTTTCTTTATGAATTAAAATTACTATGATGTAAAACCAGATGAAAAATACATAAATAATTGTTAACTAGTTCAATTTCACATCTTTTTATAGGTAAAACGTGTGATTTTTTACATGCAAGTAAACATATTGCTCAAGAATATCTATAGGTTCAAAACGTATTGTCACATTTTATCTACCAAATAATAAGCACTATTCATGGTGTTTTAGCTAATGAATAACAATGGACTGTCTTAGATCCTTAGAAAATTTGTATCAGGCAATCCTTCTCCACAAATCCTCTCTGGAGTAGTAGTGCTCCAACTCCAGGATGCATCAGATCTGTCTGAGTGCTGGAACTCAGGTTCCTGGTGCCAACCCCAGCAGGTTCTGATTTGGAGTCTGGGTTGGGTCCTGATGCACAGTCTGAAAACCACTGCTTCACAGACCAGGAAGCTGCATTTATTCAGTGTGTGATAACCAAGGTGTTTGGCATACATGCCTTATCACTAGTTACAGAATCTTGGTAAGTCAGGGCAATTCCGCTTTTATAAGTGGAGAAACTGGAGCTTGGAGCCACATAGGTGCTCACTTGATGGTATTAAGCAGCAAAGCTACAATTCAAATCTTCCAATTCTGATGCTTGTGATTTTTCTAGTACAGTGTATTGTACTGCTTCTTGAGAATAGTTAAACATATGCATCCTGGTGCTTGTGCTTATTTGAAAAGAGAATGAACCTAAAGAGGTGAGTAATACAGTTCACTAGGGCGTTAACTTAGGACCAGGACTCACTGAGAGCTAGAGAGGACACACTTATACATTATCTCAGCTTCTAAAATATCCAAGGGTGAAATGAACTCACTGTATACTAACAAAGCAGGAAGAATGCATGTAATATAGTATGGAATACTCTTTATTTGCTATTATTTTACTATTCCTTATGGGTAACACAGATTTAAACAAAAGTTTTTGAAAGAAAAGTCTGATCTTAATTTAAAGCTTCATATTATTCTAAATGTTTGCCACAATTAACCACACCAATAATTAACCATCACTTACTCTGCTACTGAAATTACACAGTGTTGTGGCTTGGCATAACTGATGCCATCTTGAACCTTGCATTTAAGTAGTGGTCCATATTTGCTTCAGAAAAATGGAAAATTACTCAGGGTCTAAGTCTCATGAGAAAAGCAAAATGAGCTGTACCTAAAGGAGAAAATTAATTTGCTCAACAAAAGAAGTGGGATACAGGTGTCAACCAAAAATTAATGAAACATTCAGGCTAAATTGTTTCCAACATGATGTCTTTTGTGATGATCTCTTTTAAAAGCTCTGTAACTTTCCAGTTTGGAGTCATTTGTTTGGACCCTGACTGGCGGGGACAGAGAGTCTATATATGAGTGTTCCTGAGCTCAGTTAGTTAAATTCCAAATTTCTCAATTTGGCTGCTGGATTTATATATTGTTGTTCAGGAACCCATCTCACATGTCCTTCAAAAAATATATTAATCATTGCTGCTTATCTCCTTTCACAAACCAAATCAAAAGCAGTGACCTTACACAACAGTATAAGCAATTGAAATTTTAAGGATGTGGTACATAACATGATGAATAGATGACCAAAATTGAAGTTGCCTATAAAATAAATTTCTCCCATCTTTTATTTATTTAAAGAGAAAGAAACAGAAAAAATACATGGAGAAAAAAAGGGTAGAAACAATATAGAATTACAGAAAAACAAATGGCAAGAATTCACCAGTTGATAAGTTATATATTGTCATCTTAGAAATAGTTGTTCAGGTTACAAAACCAAAGTATGTAAAGTGACATTCAAATAGTGACACTGCCAACAGTTCTGCTCAATGATCTAACAAAAACTTAGCAATATGGTCACCAGTCATAAACACTTGTCCCTTATCACGAAGAGGGTAAGATCAAACATATCCAAACAGAAAGAACAGTTCAAAAAGAAACAATTTAAAAATATACAGATTTCAAAGCAAGCCCACTAGAGATATTCACTGTTTATCTAATTGTCTCTAGTTTCTTCCAAATAGTTGTCCCCATCTTCACACACATTAAATACATACTGCATATTATAGAACTAATCAAATCATTACAGGATAATGAAAGCCTTTTAGGTCTTCAAGATCTGACATTGGGGCAGGCAATAATAACCACCATAGTGTCTCTCATTCTCTTCATAGTAGCTGCCTTATCTTTACATATGCTGAAATTGAACTCGAGATTAGACTAATATCACTCTGAACAGTGAACAAAAGTATTGCTAGATTTTATATCATCATGCTACAGAATTAGCATTGAGTTTCTTAGTGTCTCTTCTTCAGAGTATCTGTTCATTGCATCTTGCATTATATAATCTATCCCCATAAATAGTTTAAGTAAATCTTCCCATGTGTGAATTTCTACATGTATATCTATCCTGTCTGTATTATAGGGAAAAACAAATCATAACAAGACAGCAAACAAATTCCCAGAAAAACATGCAATGAAAAAAGACCACAATATTAGGTAATCTACCATAATTACTATGCTTTCTCTTGTTATTTTCAATAGACTTGTCCACATCATCAGGCTTAATATAGTTAAGCATATATTACATAGCTATTTTTAATAAAAACACAACTTTGAAAACATTGTAGGACTTGACAGCTGTTAATAATCAAAACCGGTATAGATATCCTTTACATCTTGTCATCTTCAGAGTAGTTGCCTTTACTTTTAGGGTTGATACTATCAAGCACACCAAATTCAAATAAAATCAGCCAAGGCAAAACCACAGTCTAATGAATCAGATTCAAATAAGATCAGTCATAGTAAGACAATGTAAGTAATACAGGGTTTCAGTTTAAGTTAATAGGAAATTAAGGAAAGTTACCATGGTATAACCTGCAATTTTGGGGTCAGATGTCTGTGCCCTCAAATCTGATATGAGTAGACTGACTGGAACAAATTAAATTCAGACTAAGCAGAGCAATAAGACTACTGTGATGTTTAAATCCTGTTTTATATCTGTGTGTGTGTGTGTGTGTGTGTGTGTGTGTGTGTGTATTTTTTTTTAATCAGTACCGGGGATTGAACTCATGTCCACCTGCTTGCAAGGCAGCTGCCTATGCCACTGAGTTAAATCCCCAGCCCCATGACTTTTAAATCCTGATACACTATTAACAATGATCTGTGCTTTTTTGTAGTGTAACAAAGCTATCTATACTAAAGATTATAGCTTACTGTCTCTGCCTCATGCCTGCTACTGTATTTTACTGCTATAATTTGTCCACCTTACTCTCTCATTCCACTGTCTGCCCCATTTATTGAGGCCTCTCTGCCACTGTTGCTGGAATCCTGGTATTCTTTCCTCTCTCTTTCTGGAATGTCCTTCAGCACTCTCTGTAGGGTTGGGTTGATGCCCATGAACTTCCACAGTTCCTCCTTGTCTTGGAAACATCTTATTTCTCCATTAATTTTGAGAGAGAGTTTTTCTGGGTATATCAGTCTTGGTTTCAGATTATTTTCTTTCAGAGCTTGGAATATTTCCCCCCAGGCCCTTCTTGATTTGAGAGTTTGTGTTGATAAGTCTGTTGTTATTTTGATAATTTTCCCATTGTAAGTTATCTGCTTCTTTTCCCTGGCTGCTTTTAGTATTCTGTTCTTTTGGTGGATTTCTGGAATCTTGATTATTGTATGTCTGAGTGTAGATCTATTCTGCTTATAGGTAGTTGGAGTTTTTTATGGATCATTTATCTGGATATCATTTCTTTTTCCTATGCTTGGGAAGTTTTTCTTTAATATATCTGTGAATATTCTTTGTGTTTCATTTTGGTTGCTCCTGCTTCCTTGCTCACATGCTTTATTCTTAAGTTATGTATGCTTTTGTCATCTTCTAGCCCTTGAATTGTTTCTTTCTGGCTCCTCATTATTTTTAAGAGGATTTTTCTTACATGATCATATACCATAAATCTATCTTCAAGTTTCAAAAGGCTAACTTTAGTTTCTGTCAAAGCATTTTGCCAGTGTTCAATGGAGTTTTTAGTTTCCTGGTAATATCTTTGTATCTACAGGGAACCGGGATCCAAATTGCCAGGTCATCATGGTGAACACCTTAACTCACTGTATTTTGCCTGCCTGCTGCTGGACCATGCATGTTTTCCACTAAAGTACACACTGAGGCCTCCATGCTCCTGTGGAACCCCACAGTGGCTCCTCTGGGGAGGCTGTCGGTCAGAGCCTGGTTTCCTGTTGGTTGTGGGGGTGCAGGGCTCCATCGTTTCTTCCATCTTTCACAGTGATTGTGTCTGACCCACAAGCTGAGTGCTCCATGAATGAGAGCCCATCCCTGCCTGCATGCAGCAGCTCCAGCAGAACACCAACGGGGACCTGGCATGAGGCCACTGGCCTTGGCTTGATGTTTATTTCAAAATGCTCATAAGAAGGGAAAAAATCATTGAGTATGCATGACTAAGCAATTTAACACAAGATATTAATGTGTTCCAGCATCACTAAAAGTCACCTTTTAGCTGGGGGTTAGCTCAGTGGCACAGTGCCTGCCTGGTAGGCGTGAAGTCTTGAGTTTGATTCACAGTATGGAAAAAAAAAAGAACAGTGAATGGCAGTGTGAGTTGTAGGAATACATACTCTACCTTTATATTTATTTCTTGGTTGTGTGTGACATTCACATATTTGACCAACAGCCAGTGTGAAGGTAAGAAATTGCTAATGGATTATAAAATGAAGGCTATAGGTGCTCGATCTGTGATGAATGGTACAGTAGGTGCCTGTAGTTCTGCACTGTGTGTCTTAAAGTATTGTGATTGTGCATCTAGGAGTGGAATTATGGAGCAGTGTTTACTTCCATGCTTATCTTCACAAGCACTGAACTATTCCCAGGAGTAGTTAATCCGTTTGCCTTACATTAGCAGTGCCTAGGTGTGTCAGTTCTTCATCTTCTTCACAGCACTTTCTGATTCAAGGTGTTTTATTTTCCACATAGCATTACTTCTGTGTGATGCAGTAAATCATTACAATTTTATGTTTCCTGAGCGAAAAATGATGAACAGAATTCCCAGAGTAAAAGAAAAAATACTAAGGATCGGTGAATGGCACTGTGTTAAGTAAAAGCTCTTCTGCACAGAGCAAGAACAATCGAGTGAAGATTCCACAGACAAAATGGGAAAAACGCTCTGCCAGGGTTCATCTGGGATAGATTCGTATCTGTAACACATAAACAACACCAAAAGCATTGAGACACAAAAAATTAATGCCTCAATCAAAAATGGACAAAAGAAAGAAGATGAATTTCTGAAAAATACAATTTCAAATGACAAATATATTAAAAAATCATCATTGCATCATTAGAGAAAGGCAAATCAAAAAGCACTCTTAGATTTTATCTTACCTCAGTCAGAATAGCTATGATCAAGAACATAAAAAGCAAAAGATTCTGGTGAATATACAAGGAAAAAGGAACATTTCTACTAGTGTTTACTTCTGTTAGTGAACATGTAAATTAGTAAAACCACCATAGAATCTGTTATGCAGATTCTTTTAAAAATTAAAATGGAAATTGTATTGGTACTGCTATGGTTCTCCTGAGTATGTTGCAAAAAGAATTAAAATCATCATTCTCCATTGATAAGTGTATATCCATGTTGAGAGCAGCAGAATTCACAGTAGTTAAACAATGGAAGTAGCCCAGGGACCACTCAATAAATGGATGCATAAAATGGCAAATACCTACCAAATAGAATTCCACTCCACCATGCAAGTAATAAATTCATGTTACTTGTAGGAAATGTATGATATTGATATCACATGTTAAGTGAAGTGAGACACAGAAAGTGAAAGATAAAGATTTCATGGTTTTTATATGAAAAATATAAGATGTAAATAATTTAAAGATGACAATAAAGGAGAATTGGTAGAAAAGAAGGAAGGCCATTGTATTCAGATGTGGAAGTGGAACAGAAGAAAGGGTTAAAAGGAGGGTGACAGATAAAGGGGTATACAAATAATCATTATATATATATATATATATATATATATATATATATATATATATAATCAACACATGTATTTAGTGATTCAGTTTCCACATATGAACATTGGGAATCTTATTCAAATCATAGCAATGCACAAAATATTTTGCTGTTTAACTATGATAAAATGGTTTTTATTTGTTTCTTGTGCTTCATGTTTTGATTTGTTTTCATTGAGAATTAACAAAACTATTTACACGAAGTCACATGTAGATGCTTGAAGTCAGATGTATACACATGACACAAAGTCACATGTACAGTGAGACAGAGGTACAAGTCTTTGGCTGAGCACATCCATTTGTCTGAGTCCAATAAATTCACTTCAATCAGTGTTCAAACGCACCACAGTGGAATGTCATGGTTTCTCTTGATGCTGTAAAACCTAGATTACATTGGACATGATTAATTCAGATAAATTCCTATCTTGTTTAAATGCTTGAAATAAATATTTAGCAATTAAAATAATTAAACTTATTGTTATATCGGATTTTAAAAAGCCATTAAAATGATTTAACATAGTTTCACTTACTTAGCCACTTAAAATCAGTTATACATATGCATATATGCCTAAATTTACCTTTTATTATGACATATATTTAACAAAAAGTTATGGAAAACAAGAAAATACTATAGCAAAAGTGGTTCTGTTTAATTGGATGGAAGAAACAAGAGGAGGGCTTAAATAAAGGAAAATTTAATTTAATCATTATATTTTATTCCTTTAAATAAGAAGGCACATATTTTAAAACTATTGCTCATTGTGGGTGATGAAAATATAGTCATTGATATCATTTATATGCCAATAGATATGCATTTATTTTTGTGTATGTATGTGTGTTTCGTGACCAAGTGTTAATCTTACTTCAGAATTTCTGCTGCATGACTAAAGGATATTTATGTAGATGAGGTAAAGAAGAAGTAAAAGATTAAAATATAATTTTGATGAATATGATGAAATCCATCTCTTTTTAATTTGATGAGACATCACAAAAAATGTTGAACTCAGTACCATCGGTTCAGTAATAAATCAGGTTCAAGTACTAAGAAAGGTGGAATCTAAAGGTATGTGTGCCTGACCAAGATCCATACAGTGTTCATGACCCACATGTCATGTTGTACTGCCTCTCCAATTTTATTCAGGTTTAACATAGCTAGGAATTTGAATAAGAAAGTCACACAGTTATGTACAGCCACGTGAACTAGCTAAATGTATAACACAATTTAAATTAATATGTCAATTTGGGCTAAAAATTTATAATGACCATATATTTGAAGTGATATAATTGTATATTTTGTCTAAATTTATCAGATATTGAGTCACAAAATTATATTATTTCTAATTTATTTTTTAAAGTGTGTGACTAGAAACTTGAATCAGTTATTACACTTTTTAGTCACATAAAATATATATTTTGTGAGCCTTTATACACAAACAGTATCCTCAAAGAATTAAATCCAAAAACTTCAACATACAATATTTTCAGTATGATTATTTTCTCTTCTACTTTTCCATATTTCTGAACTATTCTTTACAAAAATGAAATATTATTAATTATGTGATATGTGGACATAAAAATACAGACATTACCATTATCCCATTTTATTATATTAAAGTGGGCTTAGTTATACTTTATATAAATTAAATAGTAAAAACTATGATATTGGAGAATTCCTCTACATTGCTCTAGAGACTGACATTTCTTCTGAGTGATAACAAAAATTGGACTCAATCAGTGTAAGTACATATTGAAAGGACTCACATATATAAGACACAATGACTCTGATTTTTGAAGAATTCAATAACCTAGGACCAACTGTTAAAATCAGTAAGAAACCACATGGTCAAACACAATTCAAATAGGCACATAAGGTCCTATATTTTGGGTTCAGCATTTTAGCACTGTTTGCAAAGTTGGAGAAAAAGATGTGACCATTGAGTGTTTGCTATAGAATTGGACCTTCTTGAACCTGATTCGTTTCACCTTTGTAGTTACTTGCCCTGATAATAAGAACCAGAGACAAGATTTAACCCTGTATGTCTCATATGCACAAAAGGCCCTGTGTCTTAACACTGCTTTTGGCAAAATCAGAGCTTTGTTTAACATGTTGTATACTCAAACTCCACCTGACTCACTGAGGTAATTTAAAGCACGATTCTTCACATGCATGAGCTTTTGCAAAAACATTTACCAGAGGATTATTAGAAATATACAGTAATCCAAATCAGCTGCTAGAGTATGTAGCTAATAAAATGAGTACTGGCTGTCTTTGATTTTTTGGCAATACATTTCTTTCCTGAGAGTTAGGATGTCAAATGTACTCTTGCCTTTTTTTTTTTGTAGATCCCTGAATTTTCATGATTTGAACTGGAAAATCTCCTTCCGTTTGGAAAACAAAAGCATATTGTTTATTTAGATCATTGTTCTTTATTCTTACAAATTTAAAATGAATACTTTCTATCTTTTGTTACTAGAAAGTGTTAATTTTATGTATTTGTGAGAATATTTCATAAATCAGAAATCAATGAATACAGTCTATTCATCTATTCAATAAGCAATAATTAAAAGTATTTATATAGTGTGTTTAAAAACAGAAATGTATAATACAAAAATAAGTTATCTTAACTTTTAGTTCTTTAAAAAAGACTCCATATGACCTGAATATTTGTCTTATTGTGGAAGAGCAATTCTGAGTTTACCTATTTGATGAATGGTTTATCTAGATTATTCTCACTCACTTTCCCCTGGAGGAGAAAACCCATAGGAGATGCTCCAAGGAGAATATTCTCCAATTACCTTCTAGTTAACATAGCAATATGATGATTTATTTTTCTAAAAAACAGGAGAAATTACTCTGGGAAAAGACTGTAGTGTTGAAATTCCCCAAAAGAATGGAGTTATTTGGCATGTAATTAAACTCATGTCATAGAGGATGTATTTTAAAATGTTGCAATTTTTATTAAGAAATTTCAAGACCAGAGAAAATATGACATAGCTTTTATATTAGGTGATAATTTCACTTCCTCGAAGTTCAGATTCCTCAAAGTGACAATATAAGTAATTACCTACTGCACCTAGTGAGAGATCATGGCGAATGGCAGCAATGTAACACTCCCACTGTTTTCTCCTGTGGGACAGAGCATAGGAGGGCACAATAATTCCACTGCATGATACTTTCCATCTGGTCAAATTATAAATTTTAGTGTTTGAAGGACACAAAGTAAGAAATTA